GTAAATTATTCCTTTTATTAATACTACTTTTAATAAAGATAGATAGATAATAACTTGAGAAGAGATGTAAAATTTTGAATAAAATAGATATGACAAATGAAAATAATTTAGAAAAGTGAATGAGAGAAAAAGGATGAAGAAGAAGAAGAAGAACTTTCAATGGAAAATAAAATATTGATCAAAATTTTGATGAATTCGAAACTATCCTATCCTTTCTCTTTCAATATTTAAATTTAACAATCATTAATTCATTCAACATTTCCACTTTTAACTGAATATCTTTCATCATAAATAGCAATACATATAATAACCCCACTTATGATGATCAAATAGACAGATAGATTATTCCTGATATTTTATATTATGGGATATTCCATATTCAAATAATATAGATGGATGGATGAATGAATGAATGAATGGATGAATGAATAGATTGGATAGATGGATAGATGAATGAATTCTTTAATTACTCTTTTAAAAATACTACAATTTTTAATCAAAAATTTTGATTCGAAATAATAAATAAATTTTATGAAAAATATTAATTAATGAAATTTAACAATAAGAATTAAAAATTGTTTAATTTCACAAATAAAACTTTTACTCTTTTAGTTTTTCTTTTTTCTTTTTCTTTTTTTTACAGCTAAATATTTTTTGGAAAAATTTTTTTTCTTTTTTTTTCAAGATTTTTAATTTTTTTTTATTTGTAATAATAACAGTAAACATTTCATTATATTATATTACATATTTTAATTAGCTAAATCATTATAATATCATATCATTTAATTGTTATTTGTTTTCTCTCGTTAATTTTATAATATTAAGAGAAAAAGAAAGGATAAATAATAAACGAACAGCAATAATTAAAATTAATAATTATAGTAATTAAAAAAGAATTAGTAATTAGTAAAAGTTAAAATTAGGTAAAAAAATAATTAGCAATTATTTGGTTTTAAATAATTCATTTAATAATTCAATATAAATCAACAGGAAATAACAGTTTATTGTTTTGAATAATAATATTTTGGATAAATTTGCAAATAATTTATTCAAAAATTTGATTATTTTGAAAAATTTTAATTCATTAATTAAAAATTAGTACAACTAATGTAAATATTTTTTAATGGTAGAAAAATTTTTGCCAATAAATGAATTATCAATTCAAATAGTAATCGTTATGGGAAGAAAAAGATGAAGAAATGATCGTTTGCTTATTTACCAATCTTCATCAATTAACCTTAGCATACTTCAATCTATTTAGTTAGTATAAGTTGAATTTTGTTGAATAGGCTATAGAGTGGTATGTTTTGTTTGTTTATTTGTTTATTTGTTTATTTATTTACCGTAATCTTAATTTATGAAAAGAAAATAAAAATGTAAATATATTAAAAGTATTCATTAATTTTTTCTTTTTTTTTTTTTTTGATATTCTTAAATTTACAATACTAAAAAAGACTATTAACATTTTCTGTTTATCTTTATTTAAAATCAACAACAAATCAAAACATGCAAAATACATTCAAAGCATCCATAAATTCATCCGGAATGGATAAAATCAGGAAATATATGGATTACATTCAGTAATGGTTAAGATTTAGGATAACAATTGTCCTAATAAATGAATATTTCAAAGGGACAAATTTAACATCTGGTATTTGCTACCGATGAATCATCTTTCGACGTATAATATAATTTAGCATAGTTTAATTAGTTTCGTCTACCTTCATATTTTTTACAAATAATTTTACCGGAAAAAAAAAAAAGGAAATGATAAAAAATAATCATAAAACTCATAATTTATTGAACATTATAATTAATTTCCATTCATTCTATAATGCTATTATTATTAATTATAAAATCTTCCGTAAAATTATCCGGAAATTTTTAATGTTACAAATATTACTAAAACCGGAAGAAGTCTATTCTATTTATATTAATGTATGCAGATTGTGAAATATACTGTAATAGTAATTTAAAATAATAAAAAATTGAAAAAGAAAGGAATACATAAGTATTGCTTATTTTTAACAATAAATATATATATAAATACATATATCTATCATAAATTAAATAATAATAATGATTATATCAAATTATAATTTAAACAAAATATAAAAAGTATGGGGAAAAAAAGCCAATAAATTAATTTGAATGAGGAAGTAAAAAAAAAAGAAAATTTCGATAATTATAATAATTATGGATATATGTATATATTATGAATTTATATGTTCAAGAAACAATTTTTAAAACAAATTTAAACTTCAGCATTAACTTTCTTTTATGCTAACCTAACTGATGAAATGCTATCTGAAAAAAAAAAACTTTATGCTAATGCAATTTTAGGCTAATTTGATGAATGCTTAATACAGTAACATATAAATGATAAAGTTAGAAAATGTTTATGATTGAAGAACTTATACATCTATGTTTGTTGAGGGGAAAAAAGAAAAGAAGAAAAAACTTTCTTTTAAACAATAGCAATAGCAGGAACACTGATAAAACGATTTATGTAATTTTTAATACCCAAGTGTATTGGCTTCATATTTTTAACCTTTGTTTCATATGAAATTTAAATAAAAGCAAATTGATAAAATAAAGCTAACATTTAGCTAACCAATAGCCTTTTTCTCATTTATCATCAATACATAAATCCTACTTTATCCTTAAATAAACAAATACAATCGTAACAATCACTAATCAAATGATAATCTTAATATTGAACATTTAACTATTATCAAATTTGATATTAGAAGTTTAATTGTTATCAGTTTTAATATTAAAAGCTTAGATAATCTGATAATATTGTTTCGCATTTTTCGTTTTTTTTTTTAGTATAAATAAATTATACTATTTATATACTTCTTAATAAAAGCCTTAAGTAGGCTTTAATCAATCCAATTCTTATCACAAATTTGATTTATAATGTACTTATTTACATACTTAATTAAAAAGTTCATTCTGAAAAAAATAATTTCAATAACTTTTTTAATAATTCATTTAAGAAATAATCATAATTCTTTAGCAACCAATAAGTACTATTCATTATTAGTAGATATTCTAGATAAAGCACATAAGTCTAACCTAATATTACTACATATATGTAATTAAAATGCATCTACATGTATATATATATTAGAGGAAGTGTAATAAGCTTAAATTTAATTAAAATTTCCTTTATTAGTTTCGTTCCTTCTTATTTTTTTTTTTTTCATCATTTTGTTTTCAAGTTTAAGCGTATTTGCATCAGTAATAAGAATTCAAACAATGAATACGAATTGAATTACTCAATCATCTTATCTCCTTTGGGAATTAAAAACATTCATTTTCTGAACAATTCACATTGCTTTGCTCTTCCGCCTCACAACAACAACCATTTATTAGACAATAACTTTTAATCAATTATTTGAATACATATATATATGTACATATATCAAAACTTCCTTGAGTTAAATTAAAGCAAATCACAGAAATGGTCGATCCAATACCGTACCCAAAAAGAGTGAATCGAATATCTTACTCAAAAATGGTAGACCAAATGTCTTACTCAAAAATAATAGACCCAATATCGTAACCAAAGTAGTAGTAGATCTAATATCCTATTCAAAAATGGTAAATGTAATACTGTACTCAAAATGATAGGCCCAATACCGTATTCAAAAGTGGTAGATCCAGCATCGTATTCAAAAATGGTAGATCCGATATCGTATTCAAAAACAATAGATCCAATATCATACTCAAAAAGGATAGATCAAATATCAAAAATGGCACATCAAATATCTTACTCGAAAATGATAAATGTAATACCGAACTCAGAAATAGTAAATCCAATATCGCAATCTAAATGGTAGATCCAATACTGTACTCAAAATAACAGATGTGATACCGTATTCAAATTGATGTA